AATAATACATTAAGAACAAGTAAGTAGAAAGATATTAGCATTCAAAGTAAGAGTTACCTACTGGTGGTTTCACAGTTTGCACACCTATAGTGTTTTAGGTGCTTGGAGATCAAAACTCTATAATCTCATGTGATTCCACTTACATGTAGGAGATAACCCATAAATTTAACCTTCAAAAGAAGAATCATCCTTTTTCATCGAGTTTTGAGAGAGATATGGTCGATGGAACACACATATACAAATATGTCAGAATTGGACAGATTGCATGTTCATCTTATTTTGAGTAATTAAAACCTCAAATCATCATAATATTGAATGAAATCGGTGGCATTTGAAAGGTAACTCATTAAGATAACATCCAGAAGAAAAATCAACAATTTTGGATGATTAACTAGGGAGTTATGGCTGTTCAAAGTAGGGTTTACCTACTGAAAAACTCTCAGATGCACATATACCATGTTTTGAGCATTTGGGGGGTCAAAACTCAATGTTTTTGAGTGAGACCAATTGAATTACAACACTAACTCAATAAATAAACTTTTAGAAGAAACCTAATAACATTTGAACAAGTCATTTACAAGATATGGATGATTTGTGCACATGTACATAATCTGTCAGCACACCAAAATATGAGGTTTTTAAGAAATAAACTCACATAAAATCATAACTCTACCTATCTTTTTGAGTTCTAATGTTTGGGTCATGGATTACCATCATCAAATAAATATTTTTACATGTTTTTGGTGTATAATCTCACCTTAAGACTCAATATTTTCGAAACATAGAGAATAGAAGATGAAGAATGCATAAAAGTGAGTTTTTCTCCCTAAAACTTACAAGAAAAGATGATGGGATGTATGCATTACCTTGTTTATAAATGAGAGGATTGTTGTATCTTCAAAATATTGCCAAAATGATGAAGATGGATGAAGAATTCGGCTGAAATGGATGAAAGAGAAAGATGGTTCTCAAGGTGACCCTTGAGTTTTCTAAGGAGAGAAAAAGAGAGTTTTGAAATTTGAGTGGGGAAATAATGAGGAATAAAGGAAATTGAATCTATTTATATGTGGCCAAGAAGAGGGAAAAGAGAGGGGAAGGGGCCGGCCATGAGGCCCAAGCCCACCCTCTAACATAATTTTTTTTAAAACTAAGCCCAAAAATGCACAAAAGCTCATTTTCTCAATTTTGTTTTTTTTCAAATTAAAAGCCCA